CAGGCGCAAACTGAAACTGAACAGACAGCTGCGCTGAACTTCCGGATTTTTGTGTGTGATTTTGTCTGTTTCTCTCCATAGGATGATGTTCAGCTGCTTGAACGAACCTCGGGTGCTGTTGATACGTCGTTGAATTTCTTGTTTAATCCGCCACTCGCGTACAGTTTCGGAACCAAGTTATTTGGAGTCGGCACTCTGCCGGATTATTCCGTCCAGCACCAGAAGCATCGGTGCTGAACACTGATGTCATGCTGTCGAAGATGATGGTGTCTCTCGTACTAAAAGGTTGCACATCCGTATGGGTGGAGAGGAAGTTGCTCTTCAGTGAATTGAATTTTTAAGCATACTTTGGAGTCCCTCCAGGTCCCAGCCTGTCCAATTGTCCCGTAGAAACGTCTTTCTGGTGTAGTTTCCAATTACAAATAACGAAAATATGGTTTCGAGCACGCGATTGATAGTAGTCTCGAAGCTTGTGGCTTCTATCATTCCAGACCACTTTGAAGGATGACTTCTTCCTTGACTTCTTTGCTGGTTCGCATTCTGGGTGCCTAGACCCTCAAACGGTCTTCTTCCGTTTTTTGTCCAGGCTGTTCCACTGAGTCGAAGTCCCTTAGCTCATCTTTCTCCCACTATGGATGAAGTACTCGCGCCTCGTAGGTTGTACTGGTTAGGACATGTACATTCCATTCTAGAAGACTATCAGAGTTCTGCTTTTCTGAGCTCTTTTTGCCCACCCATGTGCTGAATGGCGAGAGGTGGACAGTAAACACCCGGGATGAGGGCCGTGGGACTCAACCCATAAATCGTTAGTGACACTGACAGACATGGTTCAACCACACAGTCAGTGGTCCTCGTTAATCAAATATATCGCCTTCGGTGCGCATCTGTCCAGTTTCCCGTTCCCCGAGTTGATTGATCATGCCATAGTCTCCAATGCTTCGCTACATTTCCCACACTCTCCTATTTCCCGTTGGTTGAAACTGTATCAGCTGGAACCCTTGGTGAGCCCTCGGTGCATAGTTTATAGACGATAAACGGCTCTGAACTGAGGGGGGGGGGTAGAGATAATCGGAATCTCAGGACTTTCGTATTCTGGCGAGTAGGATCTTCCATGCCCCAAAGGTGTGAACTGACCACATGAAAAATACTCCTCAAAAGCAGTATGGCATTGGTCGTTGTCAGCTGCAGCCCCCGATTCCTTCAGTGTTCATCCATTCGAGTCATTCAGTTTGCTGACTTAAATAACCGATTTTTTCAGCCTCAGAGAAGGAGAGGCTCCTCTCATCTGTGTAGGTAGTGTGTTATTACACTTGTTCGAGTCTTCTGGGCACATTGTCATCCGATAGTGTTTGGGCCCTTGGTCCCCGAACCATATTTTGGTGTGAGGTTCAAACTTCGGCAACCAACCCCACTCGACTTCTGAGCAACAGAGTTAAAAACTCTGTTTCGTCCGAATTTCGCTGCGGTGTAAATGATAGTAACTGCCCAGAGTATGCATGTCCTTATTCTAACCTACATTCAAGGTTCTTTTCGTGCGGCACCCTCACTTCCGGAATATTGCCAACTGTGACTTCCAAACGATGTCAATATAGTGTTCTTGCTTTCTGTTTTTATCCGACCTCTCTAAATGAGTTTAAAGCAGTCATTTTATCAAGTCCCGTGCTCGGTCGCCAGAAAGCACCACTGCACATACCATACTTTTGTGCTGTTCTCAGAGTGTGCTTGTATCCGAAGATTGAGACGGAATTTCACAAACATATCGTCCAGAATGAGCTGGCAATGCCATATTTCATCAACTCTTGTCTCAAACTCGCTCGTATTGGATCTGTTGGTTTTGTTCTCTTTCTTGCTACTGGAAATCGATTCGCACCCAAGTTGTACTTTGGTACACGGATTGGTCTGCCTACCTGACGTCAGCCTCTGCCTAGGCAACCGGAAAAAACATGGGTGTAGCTGTCTATGGGTTGCTAGTTGACACATTGACATGCGGAATCGCCTTTGTCAACCAGGCAGTGCATGTGAGAATGTGCCGAAGCTTGCAACCAAGTATCGAGCCTTAGGGAAATTCCCGTCATTCTTTGACGGTAAACACTCACACAAAGTTTGTGGTAGCAAAACAGTGTGGGGGGTCAATGCTTTGTCAAGGAGACCCCAGTAAAATCCAGCTGTACCAAGGTCGGTAACCGGCCCGTGATTGCTAGCTCTTTCATTCTTGGGAGTCCATTCGGTCAAAGTACAACAATTGTTCTCAAAACACTGTTGACAGTTTTCTCATTGGAACCGTTACCATTGTTCATCATCTCACGTGGCCTCATTGGTTGCTCGATATCATCTACTCTTCCCACTCTTGTCACATTTATTTACAAGCGCTTCCCATGCTTCCGTTTTCTGTTGACACAGCTCTTAAATAAGCTAGTGGTTGCGCGGTTGCGAAACGGCATTTTGCTTATTGCAAGATCCGCGAAGCCAGCTTCATAAATTCTCTGCCCTCTCCGATGTGCGACCCCCGTCTATTCATTAATGTCGTTTATCTATCGCAACCAGAATCATGGAACACCACGAACGCTAGAAAATGTAACCCCAGTGAGCATCGATGGTGTATAGTTAGTATGCTTAGAATACTTTTCACAATAAATGTGTGTATTTTTATGCACCCGTTCTCATGGAACATGTCGAGAGGTAATCTTTCACCCCCGCCCCCACTCGTGGACCTCCTGTTCATCCGCTTGATGACCTACTTTGACAGCATCAGTCACACTAATCGGGTGTTGTACCCCGTAAGTCACATACACCTTGCTCTTTCTAACAAGCAATAAAACTACTGAAATCATGACGCACACCTAAACGACTCATGATTACAACGGTAAGTTGTACTACCTCATATGATTCTCAAACGTCCCAACGGGGCGAGATGGCCCAAGTGGTTAGAGCGTGAATTTACTGACCG